GTCTGTCTGTCCGTCTAGATCGAATCTCTACTTGATAACTTCTACAGTTTTTATCTAAACTTTGTGGAACTCTACCAAGGTAGATGCTACACTCTGAAGTTGTGCACGGCCTGTATTCATGTTTTTGGAGAAAACTTTTTTTGGGGAGTTATGTCCCTTTTATTTATTTTTAAAAAAATTGTCTATTAAACTCCTACAGGTTTCATCCAAATTTTACAAAAATCCCACAGATATAGTCACTATACTCTAAAGTTGTGCAATTGTGTACATTTTTGTCAGTTCAGTTATTTTTTGGAATTAATACCCCTTTTTATTAAATCTTGAGCCAAGTGTTGTTAATTCTGATATATCTGACTTAAGTTCTAGCTATAAAGTAAACATATATACTTATAAACTGTTTGAGTGATGAAGTATAACCTCTATTTTGATGTTTCAAACGGGAACGTTATATGACATATCGTGCTTACGTTGATAACGGTAATAAACCATCATTGCTACCACGGATGTGGCTCTGAGACGAGACGATATGTGAACTGTGTATGCTTATCAAACATTTCTGTAACACAGCATGCTATTTCTGGTGTATTTATTTATGAAAATGTAACAATTTAAGAACATGACACAACTGCCGCTGCTATTTGACAAGAATTTGCGCTGTGTCAAAATATTATCCAATCCGAAGTAAGAGAAATAACTCTTACGTTGGTAAAGTCGCATTTATTATTAATATGAATAAAAAATAAATAAAAATAAAAGTAGTACAATGTCTCTTTCTCCATGCATGTTTTCTTACTACTGTTAAGTATCCTTCATTTCACAAGCACAAAATGCACCTATTCTTTATTACCCATTCATCGATTGCCATTCGGCACGTAAATGCTCATGTCACAACATTGGAGGATGTAATTAATGAAAATTACAACAATGCATCACAAAAGATGGTTTTAATTAAGGCATCATTTAAGAGGTGCTTGATTTTGGAAATTCCAAAGGCAACATCATCACGTGACCTGATTTTCAATTAGCGGAATACAGAACACATATCTGAGGTATTTTAGTAGATATTGATGCTCAACGTGTTACCGAAGCAATTAAATTTAAAGTGGGGAGCAGCTTTAATGTCACACTGACATAATTCTAGTTTACATTTACCACAGAGTTGTTAAGAAATGTGAGATCAGGATGCATTTCATCTGATATTTAATTTATTTGATACAAGAAGAGCTTCTGTTTTACTAGGATTAAATAATATACCCCATCTATGAGCCCAGATAGATATTCTATGGAGATCATTCTGTAAAATTTCAGCAGCAGCATTGTTATCATTTTCTATAAGTACAAATAATGAGGTATCATCTGCAAAAAAAATCACATTTGACTCAATTTCTTCTTCTAGGTCATTTATATATAAAAGAAATAAATATGGCCCAATGACTGAGCCCTGTGGGACTCTGGCTGTAAGTGTAGGCCAAGAAGACTTGTACTCATAAATTATTACTCGTTTGCTCTCTATCAGTTAAATAATTAGAAAGCCAATTAAGAAAATTGTCTTCAATACCATATTGTTCAATTTGTACACAAGTCCATCATGCCAGACCCTATCAGAGGCCTTACTTTAAATATCACAAAACACAATTCTGGCCCCTTTTCTTCTATCATTAATTGCTTAAGAATTGAATCATATATTGCTAATAGCTGGTTAACTGTAGAATCTTTGGGGAGGAATCCAGATGGGTTCCTTGAAATTATATGATTTATTGAATGATAGTTGAACAAATATTTGAACATAATTCTTTCAAGCATTTTACTAAACAGAGGAGTGATAGAAATAGGTCTGTAGTTTGATGGGTCACTTCTCTCACCTTTGCCCTTATATACAGCTGTGACATTGGAATTTTCCCAGACTTTAGGTAATTGACCGGACTCCACTGATTTATTAAAAAGAATATGTAATGACTTTACAAGAGATTCAGATACACCTTTGATAAACCTAGGGTGAATCTCATCAGGACCTGCAGGCTTTTTTGGATTAATGAGTTGAAGTTGGTCATAAACATCTTGCTCAGTAATATTGATATTAGATATTTGATGAGGGAAAGGAGGAGGATTTGGAGGGATGTCTTCAATAGTTTTATCTGATGTAGAAATAGATGTGAAAAAATAGTTAAATGATTCCGCCTTATCTACGCGATGCACTTTCAATTCACCATTAATTTCCAAAGGATAATCAGTATCATTTTCTTTTTAGAGGTAAGAACAGATTTGGCAATTCTCCACCATTTGCCTGGAGGGATATTTTTGTCAATAAGAGAATCTTTAATATAATCTCTAATCATTGAAATAACTGAATTATGTAATTGTCTGTATTTATCCCACGAGGTGGCAGTATTTATTTGCTTAGCCTTATAATGTTGCCTATTTCTCTGCCTCATATTCAGCCGGATTTCATTATTCATCCATGTTTTATCATTAGGTCTAATTGTCACTGTCCTGTGTGGTACAAATCTGTCAATATACATGTCATTAGCTTATTGGATACAATTTCATTTAAGATTTCAATATCATCAATATTACTCAGCTCTTCATCCCAATCAATTATTGTTAAATAAGTATTAGCACTGGCAAAATCTGCATAATTAAAAAACATCTAAAGTTTTTTTAAAAGCAATTTTCCTTAGTGTCTTAAATGAAATTGTGGTACTAATAGCACAATGATCACTACATGATGGTGGGTCCACAGTTACATTACAAACATTATTACTGTCATTGGTCAATATAACATCAAGGGAAGTTGATGATTTACAATATTATTTAATCCATACTTTATCATCAATCTTTTCAGGTGAGAGTTTGGGGTCAAATTCAGCATATTCTGGTTAATATCACCAAGTAGGAAGACTCTCATATTCAGATCAGAGATTTTTTCAGGAATTTCATCTAACTTATCCCAGTAGCAACTAAGGAATTTGTAGCCCTATATAAGCATCCTACAAGTATTTGTTTATTTTGCAACTTCATTTCTGTCCAGACAACCTCAACATCATCAGATTCCAGGTCTAATCTACGTTTAGCAATTATGTTATTCTAGTATAGATACTATAAGAACACCGCCACCTCGTCTATGCTGTCTGTCCTTGAGAAAGACTGGAACAAGTTTCAGTATGGATGTCATCATCAGCAACTGAAGGATTCAGATGATTTTCACTAATACAGAGAATGTCACAGTCACCACATTCAGTGTCAATTAGATCAGTTTTATTTAATAATGAACAAATATTTATGTAAGCAATTTTTATGTTGTCAGATAGGTACTGGTCACTACTTATGTTTGGGCCTTGGTTTAGGTGTTCATCCATACACAACAGTAACAGTATTCCCTTAACCAAGAACTGACATACCTCTAGCTGAGTCAGCAACAAGTGACTAGATGGTTCACCACTGTGACATACCTCTAGCTGGGTCAGTAACAAGTGACTAGATGGTTCACCACTGTGACAAATCTCTAGCTGGGCCAGTAACAAGTGACTAGATGGTTCACCACTGTGACATACCTCTAGCTGAGTCAGTAACAAGTGACTAGCTCTTTCCTAGCTATAGGTTAGGGTGTATTTACACAGCTCTTACATTTCACAGATGGCTCATTGTTCATTCCTTGAAATATTTTACTGGACTCCAAAGATTCCCTCATCTGTCATCAGTCTCGGAGATCCCAATTCCCCTGTCATAGTTATATGATTTTATAGTTTGTAGATGCTGTAAAATATATGATTTACTTGTAAATGATGGGACCATCTTTCCCACCAGAGTTTTCACAGCTAACTCCTCCAGGTTGTTTACAATCATTAAGACTAAACCTTAAACACACTCTTAGAACTTATTATGTCTATAATATTCTATATTCTGGTGTAAAGGGTGTAATAAAGTTGTTGATGTGCACATTGAGGATCAGGTTAATCCTATGAAGCCTTTCAGTAAGCCATCATGTATCCACGCAAAGAAAACGGATGGCCCTGGTATACGTGTCCCCCTCCCTTCTATATTCAATTTTGTTGAAGTCCAATCAATCAAATTGCTTCATATGTCCTACTTTTTTAGGCTCTGGAGCTATTTTTAACGCATTACAAACAAAAAGGTAATAATTCAATGTTGGAAAATAAGTAGCAGGAACCCATGGTTTAAGAAATTTCATGAAGTATTTTTCTCAAACAGAAATAGATGATCGACATATCTATGTATAAAGTAGATGAACTCTATATTTGAAATTTCATAAACTGCAATAGATATAATGGATGAAGGGACAGAGGGTTACAAAAGCTCAACATTTTTATAAAAAAAATCCAAAAATCTGCATACTTTTTTGCAACCACTACTTGAAGGTCTAGATTATTTTGCAACACATTCATTGTTGAAATATCAAGTTTGAAATGAAAAACAAAAAATATTAAATAGGAAAATGTATGTTCTTTCATTAATTTAAAGCTCTAAGGGAAGAGTACGATCCATATAGGGCAGGTATTGTTTGAAATACATCAACCAAAACTTAGTGTGGCAAACATACTTGTGAACATTTCCATCAGATTAGTATGAATACATATACTCTCTGAACTTACGAAAAAGTTCTTGTGTTTTAAAAAAATAATTTGATCCTCTTTTTATGTTGTTTTTCATAAATCTAAATCTGTTCTTTTGTTATTATATTTTTCAGCTGGAAACTTTAATTTCTTAAAATACTAAAAAAAAAAGATTTGGTCAAAATGTGTTGATAGAGAATAGAAAAGTAAAAAAAAACAATTCCCCTAAGAAATACAGTTGTTTCATAGATCAATCAAATTACCACGTCAAAATCTACTTAAACTAAACATATATAGCAATTTATGAATAAATTTGTTGAAGTAGTTTTAAAAAGTGCTTAGTTTTATTTTTGTTTCATTTTTTACCCTTTCTAGATTTTTACATAAAACAATAAAAGTAATGGAAACAGAATTAAAAATTGATCTTACCTTTCCAATCTCGTTGTTGAGAGTAATCCATATGGGAGGGTAGGTCCAAGTGATAAAAATATATCTCGTACCTTTATACAGCAAGCAAACAAAATCACTTCCTGGGAGTGATCAAAATATGATATATATATATTCTGGAAATCTATTTATCAAGAAATGTACCTTTTATCGTGAGTAAAAATAAATAATAATAATTTTCAAATTTGATCTGTCTGTGATCATGATCGTATATATGTTTGGTAATGGATGGTCCGTATCAATAACTGTGTTGTTGACTGCTTTGGTAGGCTACTAATAACCACACCTGCCTCGCCAACTGATATGTGTTCTCTACTGATGGTAAGGATACCTCTTAACGCTATTGATTGTATGGGAAGGAACCAATACATACACGTAGAATCGTACAGGCTCACAGCTTCAGCAGACGACAGCCAAGAAAAAGGCGGCAAACACTGCTGCAGTATATCTGTGTAATGTACACCGTCGGGTGCTATATTCCAGTTAGGTATAGGAACGCTACCCAGCTATTTGATGGAAAAATGATGTCAATATTTTTTATGGAATGAATTACGTGCCTTGAATTCGTTTTATCAAGATCTCATTTAAATTTAAGGAGAATCTATGACCCGTTTTATAAGGACATTACGATTTAGAGTAATCATACTTAATACTGTACATGTGAACATGTGCTATTGAGTGACATACATGTTATATTTGTAGCAGATCAATATCTTATCCTTGGGAAGTTTTAAACTAATAATTGAATGATAAAAGAATCGTGTTTTGACGTAATGCTCTTTAACAAACATTTTTGGATCATTTTATCATATTAAAAACATAAATAGTGTCAAAAACAGATCTTGATATTTTTTCAGCGACATGCCATGCATATAAAATGTTCTGCCATGAATTGACCACAAGTGCAGTAAATGATGTCTGTTTGCTTTTAAGACAAATTAAATGAAAATAGTTTATAAAAACTAGAGCCCATCATATTCTGTGTCTGCCCAATGACATTGTATTTTAAGCCATGTTATATTACTATTTATGTATTAATATAATATTTGTAAACATGTACGATGGATTCCCTGGCTGTATTCTGGCTGCTCTCTGCTGATCTACGTATCAACACCTATAGACATTGATACAGCAGACAAACCATAACAGTCTTCACAATCTATTGCAGCCTGCAACATCCTTCCATTTATCCAAACTATTTACTCTCTTCAATGTGGTTTCATAAGACAGGTGGTCTCACTAGACAGGATGTCCAGTAAGTGATTATTCCTATTAACAGATACTTCTATATGACAGGTGGTTGATTTAGACAGAGAATCACTTTAGACAGTGATACCTATAGACAGATGGACAAATTATACAGAAAATTCCATAATACAGGTGGCCCTGTTAGACAGATGGTACATATAGACAGGTGGTCCAGTAAGATAGTTCAATAAACATATGGTCCCTATAGACAGGTGATTTAAAAGAAGGAAGTCCCTTTAGACAGGTGTTTAAAAAAGACATAGTTCTATAAAATGGGTGGTCCTGTTAGACATGTGATCCCTTTAGACAGGTGCTCCCTTTCAACAGATATTTCTACAAGATGTATGGTCCCATTAGATATGTGATTCCTTTAGACAGATGGTCCCTTTAGACAGATATTTTTACAAGATGGGTAGTCCCGTTAGACATGTGATCCCTTTAGACAGGTGGTCCCTTTAGACATATAATTCTACAAGATGGGTGGGGTGGTCCATTTAGACAGGTGGTCCCTTTGGACAGGTAGTTCATAAGACAGGTGGTCCCTTTAGACAGGTGATCCCTTTAGACAGATAGTTTATAAGACAGGTGGTCCATTTAGACAGGTGGTCCATCCCTTTGGACATATAGTTTCTAAGACAGGTGGTTCCTTTAGACAGGTGGTTCTATGAAATGGGTGGTCCCTTTTGTCAGGTGGTTCTATAAGACAGATGGTCCCTTTAGACAGGTGGTTCTATAAAATGGGTGATCCATTTAGTCAGGTGGTTCTATAAGATGGGTGGTCCATTTAGATGTCTGGTCCCTTTAGACAGGTGGTCCATTTGGACAGATAGTTTATAAGACAGGTGGTCCCTTTAGACAGGTGGTTCTATAAGATGGGTGGTCCATTTAGTCAGGTGGTTCTATAAGATGGGTGGTCCATTTAGACATGTGGTCCCTTTAGCCAGGTGGTCCATTTGGACAGATAGTTTATAAGACAGGTGGTCCCTTTAGACAGGTGGTTCTATAAGATGGGTGATCCCTTTAGACATGTGTTCCCTTTAGACAGATAGTTTATAAGACAGGTGGTCCATTTAGACAGGTGGTCCATCCCCTTGAACAGATAGTTTATAAGACAAGTGGTCCCTTTAGACAGGTGGTTCTATAAAATGGGTGGTCCCTGTTGTCAGGTGGTTCTATAAAATGAGTGGTCCATTAAGACGTGATCCCTTTAGACAGATAGTTTATAAGACAGGTGGTCCCTTTAGACAGGTGGTTCTATAAGATGGGTGGGTGGTCCATTTAGTCAGGTGGTTCTATAAAATGGGTGGTCCCTTTAGACATGTGATCCCTTTAGACAGATAGTTTATAAGACAGGTGTTCCCTTTAGACAGGTGGTTCTATAAGATGGGTGGTCCATTTAGACAGGTGGTTCTATAAGGCCAAAAAAATAAATATGTTTGTTTAAGGTTGCATGGGCCAAAAAAATGTGGTCATGTGATTATGATCCTATTATTGTATGTAAAACAAAGAATTACATAAACAATGTTCATTTGGAGGCAAATTGTGCTCCAAATGCTGACATTTATCGCCAACACAGAGCTGGAAGCCATTTTGAAAGGCAAGGAACCTTCTAAAATCGAAAATCAGCGTTTTTTTCCATTTTTTTTTTCATCAAAAAGTTTTTGGTCGGGGGTAAAAAGTTAGGGTCGGTCGGGAACCCTAAACAGACATTTTTCTTTTGGCCTAAGATGGATGGTCCCTTAAGACATGTGGTCCCTTTACACAGATAGTTTATAAGACAGGTGGTCCCTTTAGACAGGTGGTTCTATAAGATGGTTGGTCCCTTTAGACAGGTGGTTCTATAAGACAGGTGGTTCTATAAGATGGGTGGTCCATTTAAACAGGTGGTTCTTTTAGATGAGTGGTCCATTTAGACATGTGGTTCAATGATCAAGACAGATGGTCCCTTTAGACGCGTGGTTCAATGATCGAGACAGATGGTCCCTTTAGACGCGTGGTTGTTCGAGATACACTAGTTCCCTTTAGTACATTATGCCTCATTTTCATTTCTATTTCTAATGGTGATGAAGCTTTTTGAGATTTTGCAGTGTTCCCTGTCACTTTTGTAATTGTTTTTTTTTTGTACCTCCATACCTCTCAAAATGGGGGTATGGCTGCATTTATTAGGGGTACAGTACACCTTATCTAAATCCCCATAGGTATCTAATATCATCACAAAATTGTTAACTAATTGTAGCAATGCCATTTTTGCAGGTTTTTATTTATTTCATAATATTTCCAGTTTGTCATAGAATAAAAACACCAAGAATTAGTCAGTAACAGAATGAAAATTGTGTAAGTAGGCAGTACCCAAATCGGATCAGTACCCAAATTGGATCACTTTTGGCAAAAATACTTACACTTCAATAAATGTGCCAAAAAATCAGTTATAACAATGATGTATTCTTAGCCATGCACCAGATTGTTTCTTCAGATGATTCGTTTTTAAGTTCAAAATGCACAAGAAAATGTAATTCAATCTGAAATGTCAGTGTTTTGATTACGTTTTAAAAAAATGGCGCGTATTACTGAAACAGAGATCGTGTAACTTACCCACAATGGGCACAGACAGTCATTATGTTAGAATATAAACTGAAAGTTATCGTCTTTAGCTGACAACAGAAATCCAAATAGTGTCTGCTGGTTTTTTTCCCGTCATTCATGATCAATTATGCAGTATAGTGATAATCAGCCCCGAGGATACCGATAGTCCGGCTACGCACTCGGGTATTATCGTAGGACAGTGCGGACTCATTGTCTCCCGTAGTTATTATATTCGCCGCTTGGTGCGCTGCATGCTTTGTTTACTACCGGACTTCTGTCATTCGCGGGAAATTCTGACAGTCACTTTCAATTTTCTGAATATCATCATTTAAAATACAAACATGCTACAAAAAACGACTTAACATTGTACAAAATTATTGTGCCTACACTCACGCTTAGTATGACGAATTTACGCGTGCAAAGGTGTTTACTACGCGTGAATCACTTAGGATTCTGCGTGATCGGGAACACTGTTTTGTACCAGGTGCCAATTAACTTGATGAAATCCAATTAGCAAGATTTCCAGCTAATTGCCTCCTATGTATACATATATGGTGTGTGTATGATGAAGCTAAAACAGCGGAATGAAATGTGAGACATATTTTATGATATCCTATGATCAATCCTATGATCTCACACTGACAATGAACTTTATCAGCTATGGTTCACAATGACTTCAATATTGATTACTGTGTTTTATCGTAGCGGTTATTCCCCGATATGCAATTTCATGTTTAAGTACAGCACCTCACTTCCTTTTCAGGGTATTTTAGAGTACAAGAAATTTATGAATTTCATTTCCAAGTATTGAATAAAAAGCTGAATTAATTGAGCATGGATCCTAAATGTTCGAAAATATTTTTTAATCTCGCACTATAATATTTTCTGTAATATTTGTCAGGAAGTCCAGCAGTACGTGGATTTAGTATTAAAATACTCCAAGGCAGACTTTGATGGCATATTTGGGGGCGGGGTTGTGGAAGAAAGGGGTGGTTGGGAATGCACCCTCCTTTTGTTCATCAATTTATAATACCATGAATATGGCTTTTGTAATAAGATGTGAGAGCTGACATCATCTAGGATCGACACATTCTCACAAACGTCCACTCAAACACCCACTCACACCGGCTGAACACTCTCACACATGTGGCTGACGTGTCCAATAGGTGATAGTAATGGAGAAGTCTGGTTCGGTTTACGCTCACTGGAAAAAAGAAATGGCTATTGATTGATACATACCAGCTGTCTGCTTCGATCAGTAAAGCTTGGTTATATAACAAACGGACAGGTGAATCACTTTAATATACATTCCACTTTCTTACGGTGTCTGTCTTATGCAATAAAAAGAATTTTGTTCTGTCTTAAAATTAAGTTATACTGTTGTTAATTTGTATTTACATCCTCTGATAGGTTATCTAACATGCCTCAAGTACTTTTACGACGGGTGATTCAGA